TCATTTGAGAGGTTACGCATGACGTTTGTTTTTCCCGCGAACGTCAAAAATTCAGTTTCTGTCGTCTGTCTCTAGGCGTGTGTACACGGAATTAAGTAGGTTTGTGTTTTTCGTGAATGTGTTATTTTATTTTATTTTATTTTTTGTGCAGGATTTTTTTAAGAATTCCATAAATAGGTAACAAAATGAAAGGCAAGCTTGCGTTTGCCGTTTGCCGTTAAACGTCATGCTTAAAGTGCCTATTGATAAATAGAATCTTTGCAAGCGCGAAGTCGTGGAAATAGAGTCGATAACAACGCATGTATAGTCAGTACCAGGGGGTGACTAAATTTACGAAAACGTCAAAAAGTAGTTTTTCAGAATGGCACTGATTCAAAACACTCAAAAGAGATCTACAGCGTTTTTTAAGTGAATTCGCGCAGGTTTTTGTTTAAAACATAACACTGACTAAGAAATAAATATTAGTTGGCCCTGCACTCGGTACAGCGATGTCTGCAGACGAATGCCTGTCTGGGTGTCCTGTGCACGTTTAGCGTGATTGCGTGACAAACATGAGTGATGACACACAACTTCGTTGGTGAACATCGTTGTGCCATTTGGGGAGCCAAACGTTTCTTAACTGAAACTGTAAGCAATCAAAGCATCTTGGTTTATCGTGCTAAAAAGACTTTTGTATATACTGGAGTTGTATGGAAGCAGAAATAAGTCAAGAGTTGCGATGGTTTGCGATGATTTATGAACAGCTCCGAGTATTGTAAATGGTCAAGCCGGACGTTGTAAATACTTTTCAAGTGAACATGGCGATTTGAAACAAAAATAATGGAAACATCACTCTTTAATCACTGCTTTCAGAAGGTAAGGGTAACATATTGAGTTTCTGATAAAGCACAGCTCAAAGCGGTAAGATTTTGCAGAAATTATGGCTTCGATAATAAAAGAATAATTGGATTATCTGCGGTTGTTTACACGGCGGCGTTGCGATTTGCACGAAATAGATCGGGCTATTTCTTCGCAGTAATTAAGAGCCCCAAATTCATTTTTATATCCTTGAAAAGAACATCGTTTCCAATTTTCAGAAATGCTCATCTCAAGTGATTCCGAGTTATACCGAGTAGGAAAAATTTTTATTGAAAAACTGCTTCAAAATGAAATTTTTAATCAATCAAATTTTGGCGATTTTCAAATATTCGCCAATAATTCATAGTTATGTCAATAATCCCGTTATTAGATTCAAATCATTTGTTAATACCTCGTATACAAATAGATAATATTCGGAAAGACTTGCTTTCCTTTGCGCTTTTGAAGAATAACGTTTTTGTTGCCCCACTCGTCGGCTTCATTTCGGCCACTGTTATGGCGGTTGGGGCTCGATATAGTGTTTGGTGATTTTCTAGAAAATAAAAACAGCTCTGAACAAAAAAATTATACCACGTTTATAGACTTACCCTAAGGTATCTTTGAGCGAAGCATGAAGGTAGGGCTTTTTCTAGGCATGTGCCACATTTTTTTGATTTCACGCGGTCTCCAGAAAAATTCTCTCTTAAGAGTTACAGACAAGCATTGCGTGTTAAACAAAAGGCAATGATTGACTTTGATTCCAGAACATTTTTTAGTGATTTGAACACTGGTTTCTCTGTTGAAGTAAATTGTGTACAATTTAGGGGAGCCATGTAATGATTAATGTGTAATAGTTAACCATGATTGTGTAACTTCCGTTGGGTTATGAGATGCAAATAGCTCAGCAGATCAGTTTTCTTAATCGAGCGACGAGATAACACGTGTGAATATAGTAGCGTTGATTACTCGAAAGAAACCGAAAGAAAAGAGTTAAGATTGGAGAAAGAGGCATGATTTGTAGTTGTAATTTGTATTAATCTATTTAGTTATAGTATTTCTCTTATATTATTGCTCGTGATTAGTGTTATTTTGTGAATTTCTAGTACCGTGATACTCCCCCTTTTGCGTTGTTATTGTACAATCGATGTTCTGTACGAATAGGCTTTTCGTTGTAATTATCCTTTCAGTTTTTACTTAATCAAGTAAATCAAGAAATTAGAGAGCTTTGATCGATACGAGTGGCTTACTTGGTTTCAGTATAAAGTCTTATCTAAATATCGCGTTTGGAGCAACGATGGAATGTCTCTAGATCCCTTCATCCGCTACATTAACTTTAACTTTTTGTCACTGGACTGTTGTTGAGTCAGGGGAGGGTTAGGTGGGCAGTTGCCCAGGTACTGATATTGATCCAGAGTAGCAAAGTTTCAAGTTTGCACCATTGGAAATTTGGTGAGTTGAAATCCAAAAGCTTTCTTTGGTACACAAATTGAATGTCAACATGTGTGGTTTACTTCAGTATCCGGAACTCAATTTAAAATACATA